CAGATGCGTGTGATAGTTTTTTTTATATTGTTTTTTTTTTTATAATTAAATTAAACTAAGTATAATTAATTGTATTGCCTTGGTTGGGAGGATGCATAGGGATTAGGTAGCGTGGATTGCCTGCGAAACAGCCGCACAGCATTGCTTCACAGGCATTCTTGCTACCTAATCTTCCTCCGTTCTCCGTCCACTGCGCTCAACTCTTTTGAGTTCCGCCATTACTGCTGCTGCAAAAGGTTTTTGTTGCGTCCCACTTTTGTGCGGTGTCCACCATGCTCGTGACCAGCTTGTCCACCGTGATAGGTCTGCCATGTTGTCCTCCAGCTCCTCTCTGTTCTCTGAAAAACGTCCACACTCGAAGATGATGTGGTTGGCGTCCTCTACGATTCCTCGGCCGCACCAAGAACACTCGTCTGTGTCGTCGTGACCGAAACGCTTCAAGTAGCTCCTGAAGCATCCATAGCTAGAGAGGAGCTGCTTTAACTAGAGTTTAGCAACAGCGATCCCATCGTGCATGCCATCGCGCTATGCTCTGTCTCCTTGCTGCTGTGCGAACTAAGTTTGCTGTGCTGATTCCATGCTGAGCTCCATGGCAAACTACCGATTCGGTGGCCAGTTTGCTTAGTAGGACCATCCCTGCCATCACAAGTGCAGCGTGTGACAGGTATATAACTCTCTAACTCTCCTGCTCTCTGAGCAAGTGAGTGAGTTTTGGACCCGAACAAAAACGAAGTCGATGCGCGACCTCATCCACAGAAAATTAATGGCTACATTGTATTGTTCTATCTGTTCCACCTATATGTTGTATGGTTAGTCTTTATTCTTAATCTGTGTGTAATCTACGATGAGCTAATGTTAAATTTTGTGACTCTTGCTATTAAAACGGACGGACGGCCAAGAAGATAAGCATGGCCAAATTGACTTGGCTATTTATGCTGACCAAGAATATATATACTTTACGCTGTATTCTGCCAAACTATTACCAACAAATATGGCACATAGAATACGGAATTGAAACAGGACCAACTTGACTTTGTCATACCTGCAATGTATGTGTACAAAAATCTTCTATAATCAACAATTTTCGTTTTTTCATACCAAAAACATGTTACCTAATTAAAATAAAATTTTGCACCAGCAGGAAGTCTTGGGGTTACATGAAGAATATTATTTATTTCATTATTTGAAGACTATTTAAAAATAAGAACGTTTGAAAGTCATTTTAATACCATTTCATGATCACTTTAGGAAATTGTTCCTTTATTAATTTCAAATTAACATACAATAATTTACATATTTTCTTTTTGAATAATATTTATTTAAATTCAATTATTATTATTCTCAAATAGTTATAGCTTCGGACTAAAATCAAATCTTGGCAAATCTAGGGTTGGCAGCAAAGTCAGCTGATGATAGAACTGGGAGGTTCTTTAAATAACTAAATATACAACCTGCGCACTCTTGTTGTTTATAATTTGTTGTTGTTGGTCGTTATGATCAAAATTTATCTTGAGCCGGCCAGATTAATCTGCAAGCTAAGGCGGGGTGTACTTGGTGGAAACAATGGAAAGGTTATGGTGGGTTTCGGGTTTAAAGTCATTTCCAATGATTTTAATGAAAATTCATTTAAAGATTTTGCTGAGCGAACTCATTTAAGAACTAAATGGATATTCCACCCGCAACAGTGGCAAATTGGTAGACAACGGTTGTTTGATAGTTATTTAACTACCAAACGGACTTCAAAATCATTTTCAACGATTTTTCTGAAAATGCATGTGATACGTGATTTTTACTTTTCGCTTAATCCACCCATTCTTATATAAAAAAGTTTCGAAAGTAAGCTCCTTGCACAGATCTCAAAAAAAATAATTTGAAGCAAGTTTTACACCTTTTGGAAATTCCACTCCCCTTGTAGTCAAAGGTTGTAAAAATCGGCTTCAAACTTGATGTCAAAATTCTACGTAATAACCAAAATGATCGGAAAACGTGGATTCAAACATTAACTCTTTTTCGATGGTCTTCAAACTCATTTTCAAATATCACTTTAGGCGGGGAGTTCGACACTTGAAGCAAAAAACGGGGACCAGGGGGTTACATGAAGAATATTATTTATTTCATTATTTGAAGACTATTTAAAAATAAGAACGTTTGAAAGTCATTTTAATACCATTTCATGATCACTTTAGGAAATTGTTCCTTTATTAATTTCAAATTAACATACAATAATTTACATATTTTCTTTTTGAATAATATTTATTTAAATTCAATTATTATTATTCTCAAATAGTTATAGCTTCGGACTAAAATCAAATCTTGGCAAATCTAGGGTTGGCAGCAAAGTCAGCTGATGATAGAACTGGGAGGTTCTTTAAATAACTAAATATACAACCTGCGCACTCTTGTTGTTTATAATTTGTTGTTGTTGGTCGTTATGATCAAAATTTATCTTGAGCCAGCCAGATTAATCTGCAAGCTAAGGCGGGGTATTGCGGAAATTTCAATAGCAATGGTGAAATTGGCGAAACACGATTGTATGAAAGTTTTTCGTTTACCATCGGCTTCAAACTCAGTTTCAAACTTTCTGTTTGGTCAAATTCACTTGAGAGGTTTTTAATATTTTTCTTTAAATCTAACCCTACTTGGTGGAAACAATGGAAAGGTTATGGTGGGTTTCGGGTTTAAAGTCATTTCCAATGATTTTAATGAAAATTCATTTAAAGATTTTGATGAGCGAACTCATTTAAGAACTAAATGGATATTCCACCCGCAATAGTGGCAAATTGGTAGACAACGGTTGTTTGATAGTTATTTAACTACCAAACGGACTTCAAAATCATTTTCAACGATTTTTCTGAAAATGCATGTGATACGTGATTTTTACTTTTCGCTTAATCCACCCATTCTTAGATAAAAAAGTTTCGAAAGCAAGCTCCTTGCACAGATCTAAAAAAAAATAATTTGAAGCAAGTTTTACACCTTTTGGAAATTCCACTCCCCTTGTAGTCAAAGGTTGTAAAAATCGGCTTCAAACTTGATGTCAAAATTCTACGTAATAACCAAAATGATCGGAAAACGTGGATTCAAACATTTACTCTTTTTTCGATGGACTTCAAACTCATTTTTAAATATCACTTTAGGCGAGGAGTTCGACACTTGAAGCAAAAAACGGGGACCAGGTAAGGCTGGGAAATACCAGTTAGTAAATTATATATTTAGCATAAATCTCATAAAATTATATATATAAATTTGTTTAGCTGGCTCAAGGTGAGGAGTTTTATTAAAATCAAAAAGAAACACTATTTTCTTTAATTTTTGTGTTCCGTTATATTTCGGCTGCGCATCGCCACCGTCGTCATGGCACTAACACCAAGATACAAAAACACTTAACATTAACATAAATTAAATTAAAAAATTAAATAAATATTTAACATACAATATTTTACACGTCTGCGCTTTTTGACGTGGAGCTTGAATCCTTTTGGATATTCAATAAGTTTCTAAACAAGTAAGCTTAATTTTCTGTGTCTGTTTTGTTGTTTAGTCGTTTGTTGCTTATTATGGGTAGCGTTTTGTAATGTATGTCTTTTGTGTAGTGTTGTTTTAGCAGTAGTATTGTTTTTGCATCAATGTTTGGTGTGTGGTTGCTTTTCATAGAGTGAGTCATTAGTGCTGTTTTTTATATATTATTTTGATGTCTTAATTTGCTGTTTGGCTATCCTGGTTATACCCTTGCAGAGGGTATTATAATTTTGTCGTGAAATGTGTAACGCATAGAAGGAGACATCTCCGACCCCATAAAGTATATATATTCTTGATCAGTATCAACAGCCGAGTTGATATAGCCATGTCCGTCTGTCCGTCTGTCTGTCTGTCTGTTTCTATGCGAACTAGTCTCTCAGTTTTAAAGCTATCTTTATGAAACTTTGCAGAATTCCCTCTTTCTGTTGCACGCAGCTCATATGTCAAAACCAGCTGGATCGGACCACTATATCAAATAGCTGCCATAGGAACGATCGGTCGAAAAGTAGGTTCTTGTATGAAAAACATTTTTGTTTATAAAGTTATCTTGACTAATTAGTATTTATTAGTTTTACTACGCTCCCCATATATATGCAAAATCCTATTAAGATCGGACAACTATATCATATAGCTGCCATAGGAACGATCGGTCGAAAATTAAGTTTTTGTATGGAAAGTTTTTATGTTTTTCAAGATATCTTGACCAAACTCGGTATTTATTAGTTTTACTACGTTCCCCATATATATGCAAAATCCTATTAAGATCGGACAACTATATCATATAGCTGCCATAGGAAAGACCGGTCGAAAATTAAGTTTTTGTATGGAAAATTTTTATGTGTTTCAAGATATCTTAACAAAACTTGGTATTTATTAGTTTTACTACGCTCCCCATATATATGCAAAATCCTATTAAGATCGGACAACTATATCATATAGCTGCCATAGGAACGATCGGTCGAAAATTATGCTGTTGTATGGAATTTTTTTTGTTTTTCAAGATATCTTGACCAAACTCGGCATCTATTAGTTTTACTATGCTTCCTCCACTTATGCAAAATCTTATTCACATCGGGCTACTATATCATATAGCTGCCATAGGAACGATCGGTCGAAAATTAAGTTGTTGTATGGAAACATGTTTTGTTTTTCAAGATATCTTAACCATACTCGGCATTAACTATTTTCCCTGTGCTTCTTAGATACGGGCAAAGCACTATAAGCATTTTGAAAAGATTGGGTCTGCAAGGGTATTAAATCTTCGGTGTGCCGAAGATAGCACTTCTTTCTCGTTTTTAGTTTGGATTTTGCTGTGCCGATGTACACACTATTGCATAACAACAACAACTACAGCTAGAACAAATAAAAAAAATACATACATATATACATACATATTATTAACTCAATATACACAACGATACTGCTACATAAGCACATATGCAGAAATTCAAACGAGCGTATTTGTCAGGTCTAAGCTAGTCAATCGCGTGGAATGTGGGATCTACTGCTAGTCTTTTAGATTCCCAGAGCACTACATTCTGCCAAGCAGAATACAACACTCTCCGATATTTTCCAGTAACAAGCATCTGAATTTATTTAGACGGCTAATCAGATATCAACTCTCTTCAACGTTATCGTCCATTTCGCTATCTGTTGACTGCAGTCTTAACCAGCTTAGCAGTTTGCAGCTTACCTCATATAGGTACGTAGCCAAAGGAGCATCGATGGCAAGTGCCGAAAAGATGAACTGGAAAGGCTGGGAACTTCCGACAGAATTGGTCAGCTCGTTGTAGATTATGCTCCACGGAGCTATACTGGCTATCAGACCAATGCTGGTCTAAATGAGGTAAGCTGCACTCGCCCACCGCACTACCCTAAACTTAAATATAAGCTCCGAAGTTATTTAAAAATGCATTTCCCAAAGTAAGGGGCTTATTTTTTTTGTGTTAAAATTCTTTTATTTACAGCTTATCGTCTGTTACTCTTGCTTAGCAACTTTTATCAGCGTTAGTAAGGGGCTAATAGAAAAAAAAGTTCTGCGGCATAGATTGCACAGCTTGCGACGCGTGTGAGTATGTTTTTGTATGTACACATATTTATTAATAAGAGATCAAATGCTTTTTGGGCGATTTAAAAGCGCAGCCACTGCGTAAAGTGATCTGATTGTGTCGTATATGTGATCTTTGGTGTATGTATTGCTCAACTCAGCGCTTGGTCCAGGTTATCTCCTCGGCGAGAACTCCCAACTAGAACACTTTTATTCGTTTGAATTGTTTAAATTCCAAGGTGGTTAATTTTAAAAGCAAACAGTCCGATCAGTTTACCCATTTTTGGATCGCTCTCCGCGGTCCCATCACTCTAACTATATTCGATCTAAGCTCAGACATTCTATTTATAGGTAGGTAGATAGGTGTCTTGGTTGGTAACACTGAACCAGCGGATCAATTTATTCTTTTCGTATGAGGCCTGAAATACACAAGCTTGTAAAATTGATAAGCAAACGGTTTTTTAGTTTTCTGCCGATTCGGAATATTTTTACGTTTTAAATTTCCTTAAAGATTCGCACTAGCGGTTGCCAAGGAGAATATGTAAGTAAGTAACTGTGTCCGTTGTTATTTTTTTTAAAGCAAATTGACGACGAATTAATTTTTTATTTTTTCTTTACGAGTATCTTTCAATTTTAGCTTTCAATTTGAATTTTATCTTGGTTTTGCGGGCCCGTAAATTGCGCTGCCATCAACGCTGCGCAAGTAAACGAATTTATCACTTTGTAATTATTTCGTTCAATCATTAGCGCTTTCATCATCAATTAGAGGGAGAGACGTGGGGTATCAGCGTTGATGAGCTAAATAAAAATCAATTGAGTTCAATTAAAACGGGCATACGCGGTAAAAAAAAAGATGCAACAGTTGACGGAGCTAGCGATTACGATATCAAATATCATGCAAAATCCGAAAAACTAACGGAAACACAACTGATATAGAACGGGTTTGTAAGCATAACTCGAAAAGTATCCGAGCTAGATACACCAAACTTGATATGTAGGTCCTCGAAGGGTATACACTGAATTTAATAATTTCATTTTTACGATCAATCAAAAATCAATAGGTCACAGAGGGTATTGAGGTGAGAGTTTCAAGCTGATATTTATCGAAGCAGTTAAAAGAAATGCATTCGACTTGTTCCTTTGTCCCTTGTTTACACATGTACATGTACATATGCAGGCACATTTCATTGTTGCACATACATACATATGTGTAACTGTGTGTTAGTATTTTTGTAATAAGTATGTAGGGTTTTCTTCTTTTTAATGTTGCTCGAGTGCCCGAAGCCCAGCGCCAAGCTGCCGTTCGAACATTAATTATAGTTTCCTTTAATATGCTACCTTGGTTAACTTAGATTTATAATCCGATCTTTTTGAAAATGTAGGACCTTGACTAGGGCATAAAAAAAACTGTTTATACAAAAGCGCAAAACCGTACCTTTTAGAGTACTTTTTTTCATATGAATTTACTTCTGGTTTCCAATGACTGAGAATTTATCTATAGTAGAACATTAACAATAAGATTGGTGTATCTAGTTCAAATACTTTTTGGGTTATAAGCTAATTCCACTGTCAACATTTCTTACATTTTTTGCGAATGTGACATTTTTTGCTAATGTGAAATTGTGACGCCTGTACGTTTTCTCATAAGAAACTGCATTTTTCACATTTGCAAAAATTTTGGTATTCGCCTCGAACAATTAGTGTTTTTGCGATGGCTTATCGAATTTCGTATCGATGTTATAAAAAATATAAAAGTATTAGCGGTAACTTTAAATTATAATTTTAAATTTTACTAATCCCACAGTTTTAAACATTTAAAGATGACCAGATCCCGCAAGGAGTTCATTAAATGGAGCCCCTACTTCGAGGCCGTATTATTTGACTTTTGGAAGGAAAACTTTGCGGCGCTTATGTTAGTCAAATCAAACTGATCAGCTGTTTATTTAAAAAAGTGGTACTTATGCCATTCATTTGTTACCGACAACTGACACTGGCTAATGGAATTGCAGAATGTGAAGTTTGTAAATTTAAAATATTTTGAGCGTAGTGGAATCAGGCTTTTAACACTAACCATACAATAATAATAATCAAAACACGATAAATCGCTACGATGGAACCCCAGGTGCCTGCGACCATTTTGTTATGCCCTGGGAGAGTAAGACTGCGTTGTGGAATCAGGCTTTTAACACTAACCATACAATAATAATAATCAAAACACGATAAATCGCTACGAGGGAACCCCAAGTGCCTGCGACCATTTTGTTATGCCCTGGGAGAGTAAGACTGCTGAGAGTGGCAGCCGAACGCTGGCCTGAAAAGCCGAACGATCAGTAGCTTTTTCTTAATATATGTATATATGTTAGTTTTAAATCCTTACAACCCAAATACATATGTGTGTATGGATGTGACTCGCTCTCACTCATTGCTTGCGCACTTGTGTACATATATTTCTCCCTGCATAGCTTCTAAAAAAACCCGATATCTACAAGCATACATATGTTTTGTGTGTGTTTTGTGAATGTGTGCACAAGGAGATCACGGCGTTTGTCGCGAGCCAGAGATATTTTCTTCAATTGTGTGCCTTTTGTGCCTGCTGTAGCAAAAGGAACACACATTCAAATGATCTATCATGTATTTCTTCGTCCAGTCAGGCATATTGAGAATAATCTGATCAATTTTTATTATAACTTGATTAAAGGCGGCGTTTCGCCAAGTCAGGTTCCTTGCCAGGACGTTAGGGCGGTTGTGAAGCTTAATTCGGTAGCTTACTGCTTGATTGTTGATAACGTCTCCTACCATACGAACCTTAGGGTCCTTTGCGATACCTCGTGTGCGAATATACCATTCGGCTCCAGAAATTTTTCGCAAGGTCTTGGCTGGATGATGCGTAGTTTGTTAGGTGCGTCTTCGCGGCAATTCCGTAAACCTGGAGCCCAAATCGCCACGCAGGGGCAAAGATTACCTTTAGATAAGGACTTTGTTTCGGAGTGAGAGTTTGTTATTTGGGCTTAGCAGACAGCTCAGACGCCTGATTTTGCTTTTCAAGTTGTTGGTTACCTCGGTGACATGATTTTTGAACGTAAGTCGTCTGTCGAGTGTGATCTCTAGGTATTTATGGGCACGCACCTGCTCTAAGAGCTCGCCATGGAGAAAAAGTCCGGGGCAGGAATTCCTTGCGCAGGGTGTGAGTGTCCGTAGCACATTTTTGGGGGTTCACTGAGATATCCTGTACCACTCGAAATGTCCTCTCGTTCAGAAAGCTCGCATTGATGTTAAAGATTTAATTTGCCCTTTATCTTGGAGAGGCGTCCTGCGCCACACCCGGTAGAAGGCTTGTTGGATGTCGAGGTATTCTGCCACCACATAATCCTTCCTGTGAAAGCTGTCCAAAATAAAATTTGTAACCCGATGGAGTTGCTCAGGGGTACCGTGTTTGAGTCCAAACCCAAACTGGAACTTCGGGATTAAGCGTTTTATTTTCGTGGTATTTAGGATCCTTCTAAGGATGCACCATTCCAGAATCTTGCCAAAGGCAGGCAGGAGGCTGATGGGGCGATATGATTCCAGTTGATTAGGGGGCTTTCCGCTCTTGTGCTACATAATGATATGTGCCTTCTTCCAGGCCACTTGAAAGTGACCTAGGTGACGAGAAAAAGCACTGCCTTGTAAGGCAGAAGCTTAATTGTCTGGTTGCCCAACCGATCTTCCCCAGGGGCTTTGTAATTTTTTAGGCTCTTTATGTCCTGCTTCACTTCTTGGAAAGTGATTGGTGATCCAGGGAGTGAAATTTGGCGCCTCCAGGATTTGCGCGACTCGCTGTATCCTTCCATGCATTGCGGTCTCAAACGGCTTGAAACGCTCCTCCAGGTTAAATTAAATTAAAGCTACGCTAATAAATAGAGAAATCCACGTTAGACGTTACCATAATCCTCATTAGGGCGGTCAAAGGTTGCCAACAAAGGGAGTTATATCTGCTCTCCTGTGGTCCTTGGTAATAGATGAATTATTGCGTATTGATGCTATCAAGAATGCAAGTGATCTGGCCCTTATAGTAACCGGTAGATTTGAAAACACAATTACCGAGTGCAGAGAGCACTTGAATAGGTCTTAATATAAATACCCATGGGGCGATATTGTTCCGGTTTTAAAACGGTACAAGATTGATATAGGAACACTTGATATTGGCCACCACATGTCGCAGATTCTTTAGAAAGACATAGGGTATTCACAGTAGAGCCATCAGATAATTATACAACATGGTGGTCAGAACTGTTGTAATATACACTGCCCTCGTGTGTAGTGTAGCGCACTGAAACAAGAAATGTACTGCCCTTGTCCGACTGCAGCCATGAAAAAATCGTAGGACTGGCTCCTTTATACATTCACATAAAGGAAGTTTCTGGTCATAGCCTTTTCCGCATCAAACTCACATCTGTGTTCTATGGTTCTATGGTCATGTTAGTCAAATTCAAGAAATTCCTGGCTTGGAAATCTGCAATAGAATAGATTATAAGACGAGGAATTTGCACTTTGGAGTTAAAATGGGGATTCGTATCTCATATGGCAACGGAGGGGATAACGGCAATTGCTCCGACGATCTTAGGAGCTTGAAGTTTTTCACTCATGGATGCAAAACCGACCAAGGAGTGGGTGATGGGATCACTGCACTCAACACCAAATCGTCGATTGCAATGAGCACTTCCCCCAATATTTCTGAGATTAATGTCACAGCATTCTGATCCCAGTTTCTTATCGAAAACGGGACCATCAATATGCTTACATTAATATCCTCTCGTATAGTTCAACAGCCTTTCGAACACTTTCTTCATGGAGAGCTCCAAACTGGTTACAGATTGCTGGAATAGCGTCCAATGGCTCTACACGCTGGTGTAGATTGTAACAAAGAAGCCGCGCTACTGGCCAGGGTTGATTCATTAGCTACTCTTTAAGGCCCTGAGCCTTTAAGTAGCGTGATTTCGGTCTAAAGAGTCTTTCAAGAATTAAATCCTTAGACCATGAATGAGACAGACACACAAAAAGCTTGCTAAATAAATCATCCTCCAAACATTCCTCAGGCTTCTGGACATTACGCGGTGAGATACCATCTCAAAAATGCGGTTGTCTTTTGGAAGAAACTGCCTCGGCAAGGGACCTGTTCACCTTCGTTAGCCAGGTGGAGTCGCTCTTGTCGTTATGCGGAGCTTTATGGATAAGACCTCTTAGGGTCGAAGTGCCTCCTCTTCTCTGTTGAGAGACACCCTTTTGAATACTATACCACTTATACATATGTATACAAGACAACCAAAACTGCATTTCTATTTATAGAATTTGAAATGGAAAGCACGTATATGAATATATGTGCGCACATGAATACAAAACTGCCGCGCTTGGCTCTAACTGACACGTGGTTTGCCAATAAGCACACACGTTTCTTTAATAACTTCTGTGCTCGTTACATCAACTAACGTTTAGCATAAATACGCATTTAGTTGGTTAAGTTTGATAATATTTAAATTTTTAATTTATTTATTTGTAATTTTTGAATACAGAAATTACTCGCGGCACGCGCACCTTTCCACAGACTTAATCCAAAAATCGTTGAATACTGCTCTTGCATCTGGCCTCCACAGTATAATAATAGTCAAGATTAAATTGAATCAGTTCAGAAACAATTTCTGCTATTTGCCTTTCGATGTTTTAACTGGGACCCCAAATTTTGGTTGCCACCGTGCTGCATCAGTCTTCTTTTTCATAAACTTTTGTCGTTAAACAACTGTTGAAAAATACTCTTCGTATATAAGTTGATTGTTGGCGGCATAGATTCTTTTTTTCTGTTAGGCCGTTTTTAATTATCTGCTCCCAGCAGAACTACCAGAAATAATCGCTCTTTATTCCCACGCACAAATCTTTTCGTATATTATACATAAGCTAAATGAAATTATTGCTTTCATGATAACTTTGGGAACTCACTGACCAATACCAACTATAACTAGGGGAATAGCGTGCCCGTCCAATCTGGCCAGTTCCGACATATGTACTGCCTCTAACAGAAACTCGGACTAATGAGAGTTTCTAGCTGATAGCTTAAAAGCTGAGAACCCAGTTCGCATAGAGACAGACCGACGGACTACTGTTTGACCGATAGTTCCTATGACAGCCATATGATATAGTTGTGTTGATATGATTTTGCATATATTTGGGGAGCATAGTAAAATTTATAAATGTCGAGTTTCGTCAAGATACCTTTATACACAAAAAGTTTTCCATAAAAGAAACTACTTTTCGACTGATCGCTCCTATGGCATCTATATAATATAGTGGTCCGATGTTGATAGAATTTAGAAATTATGTTAGGAGCAAAGTGAAAGTGATAAATGCCGAGCTTAGGAATATATTTTGAAAAACAAATAACTTATTCATATGGCATATTCTTTAAAACAATAATATCTACTGCAGAATTTGATCAAGATCGGTTAAGAAACGCAGGCCACGTGCTTGTGGCAGCTAGCGCAAATTCCAAGAATTTCTGGATATATGGGCACACAAATATATTTGCAACTGCGTTTGTATCGTGTATGTGCTTTTATTTAAGTTCAGTTATTATTTTGTAAAAACTGAATTCTTGTTACATGCGTAAGGTATAAGGCGGTGTAAAGGTTGAATGGAGTTGCGAGTCTAGTACATGAAACTCAGTCGCATTTCTGCATACTTTACTGACGGTTGTGTCGCGCTCCAACACAAAAAACCGTTGTCGAAAGTGCCTTGCGCGCAGTCGCTCAAGTGGGACAGTACAATTTTTATTATAAGTAAATTCGTTTTTAGTTTTGATTATGCCATAAATTTTTTATAAAGGCAAA